CGTCCTGAGAGGGCAGGACACGGCGCGTGGTGGGGTGGTAAAATTGCCAGCCAGGCGCGTCAGGGGGAAAGCCAAGGAAGACCGTGGGAATGGCACGAGAGGAGAGCTTGTCCGCAGAGGTATCGCGGACAAAGGCACGAGAGCCCCAGACCCAGAACACCGACGCATCACCAACCTCCCCCGTCCAACACAGTGTAGGCGAGGTCTCCGGGAAGGAGACACGAAGCCAGAGGTTGAGCTGATGCGCAGCGTACCAGACCGCAAACAGCCACAGCTGCAGGTGTGCTGGCAAGTTGCCAGCTACGTCGACTTGCAGCGCTGGCACGCTGCCTTTGTGCTGCATTGGAGGTTGAGCTGCCCGCTTTTTAGGTTGCCTTGCATCTGATGTAGTCCTTTTTGCCTAACCATTGTGTATCATTGTTCTCAACTTTTGCTAGTAAACTCTTGCCGTTTTGCCCCGTAAACACGCAAGTGCTAGAAAACACAAGGAATGCTACGATCACTTGTACCACCCCTGACCTCCCACGTAGCCCACTCTAAACCATTAGGTATGGACTCATTTACAGCCCAAGACAGGCTACGGAGGTACCGGGAGGGGAGGAGTCATCAATGGAGGCAAACGTGCGAAAGCTTCGTGAAATCCCCACTAAGCAATAGCCCTACAGCAGAAACAAGAAAAGAAGTGACGAGGGAGAGGCTGGTTTTTATTAGGCGGATTCTGGTGGGGTCTGCCACACGGGTGGGTGGACAGCAAGACGCGAAGGAATTATGGGATGTAAGGCTCAGATATCTGGTGCGGCGGCAGCAGTGCGGTGACTTATTGCTGAAACCATGGCGGAACCTGGAGCTGAACTTGGAGGAAAAGGTCCGGCCAGACTAGCATTGAAGCCTTTTGCAGCTGCCCCTAAAAGATGGAGAAGCCTCTTGTTGTCCCCTCCACCAAACTCGGCTGGCTCTTCTTCCCGTAGGACAAAGGGGGGCGCAGTTATCAATGAGGAAGATGAAAAGTTGCTGGAGCGGAGAGCGCATACAGTCACAAAGGTGGAATGGGCGGGAAGGTGGAATGGGTCCATCAATTGGCGAAATGTGGTGCACATCCTGGAATCTCCCGCTATGCTATTCCCAACCTCCGAAAGGATGTCCTCATTCGTGTACTTAACTTGAATTTGCAAGTCGGGGAGAGATTAGTTGTCCTCAGCGCGAAGCCAGTCTGCTCGCATTGACACTTGAGCATTGCCCGGTCCACGCATCAAGACGGTGGTGGTGGCCCTGCAACATGCTTTCGGCTAAACCTACTCCGCGCCGTGTCTTCACTGGGGGACCTTCTCTTTCAGAAGGCACGATCCAGTTCAGCCTTCTTAGAAGCGACACTCGTTGCCATCACCCTTCACCAGCTTTGGTTGGAGGAGAGATTCGATGCGAGGTGGTTTTTCAGGGCCGAAGATTACGTGCGCACAGAGTTCTGAGGAGAATTGTGTTTGCCTTTTGTCAGCACGCAAGGGTCTACACGGAGATGATGTGGAGGAAAGGGAAAGGCGCGGAGGAACAGCGGATGCTGGGTCGGATTCGAGCTGCCGATAAAGAAGTTGATGTGGACAATCCAAGAACTGTGTTCAATAAGCCGTAGACACCTTACGGTACCGTAATCTCCCGGATAGTAGACCCTAGGGTCTTGTGTAAAATTCATAAAAAAAAAGGGGGGGGTCTTGTCAACGGCACAAGATTGTTTAGTACCCGGGTCTTATCAAATTGATATGATTTTTAAAGGTGTAATCGAGTGCCTCATTGATGAGGATGCTTGACATTTTTTCCCCTGTTGTTTGGGCCGCACATGTGTGCGACTTCTGCGATGTAGCCATATCACACAGGGGAAACAGCTTGTGGCCTTCTCATTGGCCGAAATCGCACGTTACCACATTCCAGCATTGAGATTCGCTTTGTGGCTCGTCAGCGTGCCATCCCACCTCGACACCCTGACACATGCACGGCTCGAGCGCAGGGGCTGCACGATGGCCCGTGCAGCAACCCCTACTGTTCAACGGGAGGCACGTCAATCCTTTCACCCATCACAATCCTTCTCCTCCGCCTGTTTCTTCATCCACGCACGAAACTGATTTCTGCTCGGCAGAGTGGTGCGCTTAGGGCCCGTAGCTCTAGGATGGTCGTCTTAAGATGGGTGGAGGAAGTACTTCGAGCAGTAACTAGAGGTGTAAGCTATCATTCACGATGGTGACGTCTCCAGATTCAGGGATGTCGCACGCAAGGCGCCCTCGTCCCACTAACGTTAATCGAGCATCGCAAGTACGAGTTTCACCCCGGCCCGTTTTGCCAACAACTTCACCTTCCTCCAGCGATCCTAGTGACAGTTCCCATGGCATTCGCCGACCGCCGCTTCCTAGAGTCATAATCCCTACTTTTCCGGAGTCTAGGCGCCCGCAAGGCATGAAACGAAGGATTCTAGATGCTGCGCCTCCTTCCCCTCGTCATAGGATGACGAAACGCTCTCGTAACGCGTTCACCGCCAAGGAGAAATTGCACTGGCTGGCCATGTTGGAGTCACAGCCTGACCTCAGCATCCGTGGCTTGGCGAAGCTCGCCAAGGTGCAGCCCAAGCAAATCCGCGAGTGGAGGCGACTCAAGGAGCGTCTCGAGGTCGCCGCTGGTTGTTGCCGACGTCTTAACGGTGGAGGGCGTAGGGCGAAGTGGCCCCTGATGGAGAAAGCGGTTTACCGCCAATTCTTGGCGCACCGTGCCAAAGGATTGGCGGTGTCGGTGAGCCTTCTCCGCAAATGGGCAACTCAGTACATGAAGCACCGTCAGCCTACCGCCGATTTTCGCGCATCGGCACGTTGGACCTTTCGCTACCGCGTGCGGTGGTCATTAGCGCAACGCGTGAAGACAAAGATGGGGCAAAAACTAGCCGCCGGTGAGCAAGTTGCATGTCACCCCCCCTTGCCGTAACGGTTTACGTAAAATGCTATCTAACACATGTGTCGTTGTGTGTTTAACAGATTGCAAGGGAAAGGTGGAGTCCTTCTGGGAATTCGTCCGCCAGATGCGCATGGTTCATCGCTTTCCCCTCAACCTCATCGTGAACGCTGACCAAACCCCGCTCTGGTTGGAGATGCCGGCAGAACGCACCCTCGAAATGAAAGGCGCCCGCACGGTGCATGTCAGGACGGCGGGGTACGAGAAGGAGCGTGTCACTGTCATGTTAGCAGTGACGGCTGACGGCCTGAAGCTTCCCCCGTATGTCATCTTCAAGCGGAAGACGGTGCCACGAATCGTGGTGCCACCAGGTGAGTCCGATGTGTTTCTGTCGTTGATTCCTTCTGTTCCTCTTGTTTCTCCATTACTGATTTCCAGTTGTGGCGTGTGCAGGTATCGTCATCCGCGCCCAAGAGAAGGGTTGGATGGACGACCGCCTTGTCCAGGATTGGACAACACAGGTGCTCGTCCCCTTCTTGAAGCCGTTGCGGGACGAGGGCGGGCGGCGCAAGCAAGCGCTCCTTGTCTTCGACTCGTACAAGGGGCACCTGACGGAATCTGTGGGGCAAACTCTGAAGGTGTTTAAGGTGACGCGTGCCGTCATCCCTGGCGGTTGCACCCCCCTGGTGCAACCGCTTGACGTCTCCATCAACCGCAGTTTCAAGTGCGGTGTTCGCCACCGCTACAGCACGTGGTTTGAGGAGGTCGGGATCGGCCAAACGACACGTCTAGGTGAGTCGTGGTCGATTTGTGAGCTTTAAGATGACTAGACAGCATTAACTCCACTGCCTTTACATCTCTGTTGTGCATTCTTCTTGTGAACTCCAGGGAACTTGAAGAAGCCCCCCCCTGAAGTGATCCTGAAGTGGATCGTCGAGTCATGGGCTGATGTGCCAGAGGAGCTGGTGAAGAAAGCTTTCCTCACCTGCGGCATCTCCAGTGCCGAAGACGGGAGCGAGGATCATCTGATCCTGGCTCACCTGCGGGACAAGGCGGAAGTGGAGGTGCTGGAGGATGTGCTGGACGAGGGGGAGGACGGGGTGAACCCCAACCCGTTCTACGAAGACCCCTCGCACGCCCCTGAGCCCGCCGCTACCAAGGACGATGAGGCAGAGGACGAGGAGGAAGGGCTTGCAGGGGAGGAGGATGTGGTGGATGCTGCTGCCGAGGAAGGGGATGTGATGGCTCCGGAGGAGGAGGGGGATGAGGCAGATGCAGAGATGGGAGGTGCGGACGAGTGGAGTGAGGATGGAGACGACTGGTGGGCAGCAGGCCGCTATGAGGGAGAGGAAGTGGAGGAGTGGGTTGCAGGCGAGGATGAGTGACTATTTTTATGTTGTTCTCACCCCTTGTTGCCCCCTAAATCTCTGAAATGCAAACCGTGAATAGGTTGCATTGGTGTCAAGCTTTTCTTGCTAGTGAAGCACTTGAAAATACATCTTATTTCCATTATAAACTAGTGACAACCATGAAGGGGGGGGGGTCTAGTAATGTTTACCCCTCTAGGGGGGGGTATAGTGAAAACCTGCCAAAATAAAAGACCCACCCCCGTAATACAGACCCGGGGGTCTTGTATTCCGGGGGGTCTATTATCCGGGAGCTTACGGTATATGGGGCAGCGCATCCTATCCCCTCACGCACAGTTACAACTGTTATTGGTAGTAGTTTGCACTTGTTGTCGGGGTATACTATCCAATCGCCGTATCAAAATGTATTCCTTTGCTAATCCAACTTTGCTCCAATATTGACACCTTTCTGCAGAGCATGCTAATCGGCTTATGTCAGGATGCCGTTGTCTCCTTTCGTTTGTTCATTTCTCCATGATTGTATTGCAAGAGAAACAATCAGCACTGAAGAAAACACAACACAGCTCTACGGTACGACTAACAATGAAAACCTTATCTCAAATGGATGAAATTGTCATACCCTGCGCGAGCATGTACAGGAGCAGGACAGAACACATAGGAGACCCACAATGTGTCAGATGAGGCGGAAAACCAAACACAGCCATCCTACATCAACACTGTCTGTCCCATCTTTGGAGGCACTACACACCTGCTAGCAAGCAGCTTGGAGCATCCATGGTTGCCATGCTGCAGTGCCACTTGCATGGGCGTCCGGCCCTCAGCATCGGTCACATTCACCACTGCCCCCCACAGCAGCAGCAGCTCCACCATCGCCTCGTCTCCCCTCTCACACGCCACATGCAGCAGCCTCTGCCCCGTTCTCCCCGCACCGCCTCTTGTGGTCCCCGGTCCAGCTGGCGCCGTGCTGGCGACGACCCCGACCACGTCAGCGTTGACGTCGACGGGCGCGGTGACGAGGAGGCGGAAGGCGGAGCGCACGTCACAGGAGGCAACAGCTGCTTGCAGGTGGTGCAGCGCGGTCAAGGGGTTGTCGGTGGCGGGCGCTTGGTAACGCCGCTCCACATACTGGAAGATGGTGGGGTGGTGGCATGGGGGAGGATGGAACGGGGGAATGGGGAGAGGGAAATAGAAGGGAAACGGGATTTCACAGTGCAAGGCGAGAGTGGTACTGTTCAATTAGCACACGTCGCAGTCGCAGGGGCCGGAAAGGCGGAGCGGACATCGCAGGAGGCGACTGCTGCTTGCAGGTGGTGGAGTGCCGTGGAGGGGGTGTCGGTGGTGGTCGCAGGGAAGCAGCGCTCCACATACTGGAAGATGGTGGGTTGGTGGCATGGACGGGTGGTGGCATGGAGGGGTGGTGGGATGGCATGGGAAGGAAGGAAGGGGGAAAAGGGGGAAGGTTGAAAAAATAGTGACGGGGAGGGGAATACACAGTACGAGGGGAGTTTGCTGCTGTTCACACATGGCACATCGCATGAGGCGACTGCTGTGCGGAGGTGGTGCAGCGCAGTCGAGGGGGTGTTGTTGGAGGGGGGGTTGTTGGAGGGGTGTTGTTGGAGGGGGTGTTGTTGGAGGGGGTGTTGTTGGAGGGGGCGAGGAAGCGCCATGCCACGTACTGCAAGATGGGGGGGGAGGTGAGATTAGGGGGTGGCAAATAGTGAGTCTGTCTTTGAGGGCCAATGAGTCTGTGTCTGCCAGCTTGACTGTTGATCCGACTGAAAAGCAACACAAAACCGTAAACCCTGCACGCGCGCGTCCCACTTACCCACCTTGCAACTGATGTATTCCCTTTCACTGCAACGGGTCCGTGCCTGCTGGCTTGACTCTGAAGTGAAAATTTCGTCAAAGGTGACTCTAAACCTTAAAGCCTGCACATGTGCATCCCACCCACCTTGCAGTGAATGTACTGCTCTTTCACTGCCAGCGAGTCCGTGTCTGCTGGCTTGTGCACCACAGCAGGTGCTGCTGCTGCTGAAGCGAGCATTGACGCCCCTCCATCGTTGGCCAATAGGATGTAGTCCTCTCCCTCGCCCTCCCCGCTCTCCACTCTATGCGGTACCATGGTTGTGTGTGGTGTGGTGGGACAAAACAGGAACAGAGGGGGGTGAGGAGAAGGAAGCGAAAAAGGAAGTGAGACAGAGAGCAGGAGCAGCGGCTGGATGGGTGATGCAAGCATTGAAACCCCTCCTCGTTGGCCAATAGGATGTGATCCCCCCCCTCGCCCTCCCCGCTCTCCACTCTACGTGGCGCCATGGTTGGAGGGAAGTGACGGGGGAAGGGGCGGGGAAGGAGGTGAAAGCGAGGGGGGAAGTGAGACAGAGAGTGGGAGAAGCGGGCGGTTGAGTAGTGAAAGGGTGGAGGAAACGTGTGGGGCAATGATATGGTATGCTATCGTATGGTTTGGTATGGTGTGGTGTGGTATGGAATGGTATGGTATGGTGTGGTGTGGTATGGAATGGTATGGTATGGTGTGGTGTGGTGTAGAATGGTATGGTTATGATACGATATGTTGGACTTCTGGTATGGTGTGGTATGGCCTGCCGTATCATGGTATGGTATGATATGGAAGGATATTGAATATGGGCAAAGCACCACACAGCACAGCACCACACAGCACCGCGCACCACCGCACAACATACCGTGTCAGGGCACGGCCTGAAGAGCCTGCATTCCCTTCTCTCCCCCCCTGAACGTCCTTGAGCTGCTGCTCCCACACGCTGTTGGCAAAGTCGTTGCCCACTATGGCCATCAGCCGCACCAGCGGTGCCGTCCACACCTTCACATCTAGTGTCAACGATCGCACCTGGTAGTGGGAGGCGTGGGGGAGGGGGGAGGGAGGGAAGGAAGGGGTGAGGGAACAAAAGGGGTTGGCGCCTCAAAAGGAGGGGTTGGCGCCTCAAAAGGACCACTAATGGCTATCAGCCGCACCAGTGGTGCCGTCCATACCTTCACGTCTAGTGTCAATGACCGCACCTGGTGGTGGGACGCACAGGGTGCAGAAGCACAGGGGAGGGGGAGGGAGAGGGCTAATAACGGCGGGTCAGAAGTTCCTTCTATTGCTATCAACCACACCAGTGGTGCCGTCCACACCTTCACGTCTAGTGTCAACGACCGCACCTGGTGGCAGGGAAGCACAGAAGGGAGAAGTCGCGGAGGGAAGGAGGGAAGTCGCGGAGGGAAGGGGGAAGCCGCGGAGGGAAGGGGGAAGTCACGGAGGGAAGGGGGAAGTTGCGGAGGGAAGTGGGATGAGGTTAGTCAAGTCGTCTCCCAAGGCTCTTTCGGTGACCATAAGGCACACATCAGTAGAGATGTCCACCACACCAACAGATTCTGGTGCACGCCAGAGCAGTCAACGCGGAGCAGTCAATGCAGTGCAGAGCAGCACGCAGAGATTGAGCGTCGCCCAGTTGGGGTGGGTAGGGGTGCCTTATACCATGACCTAAAATTAGGCACACCCCGCCCCGGCTACTGAGATCTATACTGCTAAAAGCCCACGTACCACTTACCATTTTGGCTCAAGCATAGAATGAGTTGCAAGCATAGCTTGGAGCGGTGCACCCCCAAGTTCCTCCTGTGTATGCCGGAGCAGTCGATGCAGAGCAGCACACAGAGGTTGATAACGCGCAATTGGTCAGGGCGGCTCATACCATGACCCGATTTCAGGCATCCCCCGATCCGGCTACTGAGCTCTCCACTGCTTAAAGCCCATGTGCCGCTTGTGAGTTGCACACATACCTTGGAGCGATGCACGCCCAGGTTTCTGTGCACGCCGGAGCATTCGATGCAGAGCAACACACAGAGGTTGAGCGACCCCAGTTAGTCAAGGTGCCTCATACCATAGTAAAAACACCGGTTACTGCACTATCCACTACCCTTTTGAGCTATGCGTTCTCACCTTTGAGCGGTGCACGCCCAGGTTGCGGTGCACGCCGGAGCAGTCGATACAGAGCAGCACGCAGAGGTTGAGCGACGCCCAATCGGGGTGCGCCCGGCTGCAGTCCGCACAGCGGTCGTTGCCGCTCACATAGCCCAGCACCTCCAGTGGTCGCTCCACTATGGGCAGTGCTGCTGCCTGCCCGTCCTGCGATGCTGCCCGGTGGGAAATGGTCAAGTCCGCCACTGATGGCGCTGGCTGGCGTGGGGGGGCGAGGAGGGGGGGAGGGGGAGGGGGGTGAAGGGGAGGAGACGGAGTGCAGCAAGGGGGAGACGGGGGAGCAGGGGGAGGGGAAGGAGGGGAAGTCGGGGGAAGCAGGGGTGAGTGAGAATAGCTGTGGTTGCAGCTGGCATAGCTCAACAACGCCAATGGTCTCTCCACTATGGGCAGTGCTGCTGTGGGCAGTGAGGGCTGCCCTGCCCGCCCTCCTATGCCTCCTGTTGAGTGAGAGATGGTTGAGGCGGCCACTGGATAGCAACGCTGCAACATGGTGCTTGCGACGCCACTGGATAGCAACGCTGCAACATGGTGCTTGCGACGCCACTGGATAGGAACGCTGCAACATGGTGCTTGCGACGCCACTGGATAGGAACGCTGCAACATGGTGCTTGCGACGCCACTGGATAGCAACGCTGCAACATGGTGCTTGCGACGCCACTGGATAGCAACGCTGCAACATGGTGCTTGCGACGCCACTGGATAGCAACGCTGCAACATGGTGCTTGCGACGCCACTGGATAGCAACGCTGCAACATGGTGCTTGCGACGCCACTGGATAGCAACGCTGCAACATGGTGCTTGCGACGCCACTGGATAGCAACGCTGCAACATGGTGCTTGCGACGCCACTGGATAGCAACGCTGCAACATGGTGCTTGCGACGCCACTGGATAGCAACGCTGCAACATGGTGCTTGCGACGCCACTGGATAGCAACGCTGCAACATGGTGCTTGCGACGCCACTGGATAACAACGCTGCAACATGGTGCTTGCGACGCCACTGGATAGCAACGCTGCAACATGGTGCTTGCGACGCCACTGGATAGCAACGCTGCAACATGGTGCTTGCGACGCCACTGGATAGCAACGCTGCAACATGGTGCTTGCGACGCCACTGGATAGCAACGCTGCAACATGGTGCTTGCGACGCCACTGGATAGCAACGCTGCAACATGGTGCTTGCGACGCCACTGGATAGCAACGCTGCAACATGGTGCTTGCGACGCCACTGGATAGCAACGCTGCAACATGGTGCTTGCGACGCCACTGGATAGCAACGCTGCAACATGGTGCTTGCGACGCCACTGGATAGCAACGCAGCAACATGGTGCTTGCGACGCCACTGGATAGCAACGCAGCAACATGGTGCTTGCGATGCCACTGGATAGCAACGCTGCAACATGGTGCTTGCGACGCCACTGGATAGGAACGCTGCAACATGGTGCTTGCGACGCCACTGGATAGCAACGCTGCAACATGGTGCTTGCGACGCCACTGGATAGCAACGCAGCAACATGGTGCTTGCGACGCCACTGGATAGCAACGCTGCAACATGGTGCTTGCGACGCCACTGGATAGCAACGCTGCAACATGCTGCTTGCGACGCCACTGGATAGCAACGCTGCAACATGGTGCTTGCGACGCCACTGGATAGCAACGCTGCAACATGGTGCTTGCGACGCCACTGGATAGCAACGCTGCAACATGGTGCTTGCGATGCCACTGGATAGCAACGCTGCAACATGGTGCTTGCGACGCCACTGGATAGCAACGCTGCAACATGGTGCTTGCGACGCCACTGGATAGCAACGCTGCAACATGCTGCTTGCGACGCCACTGGATAGCAACGCTGCAACATGGTGCTTGCGACGCCACTGGATAGCAACGCTGCAACATGGTGCTTGCGACGCCACTGGATAGCAAAGCTGCAACATGGTGCTTGCGACGCCACTGGATAGCAACGCTGCAACATGGTGCTTGCGACGCCACTGGATAGCAACGCTGCAACATGGTGCTTGCGACGCCACTGGATAGCAACGCTGCAACATGGTGCTTGCGACGCCACTGGATAGCAACGCTGCAACATGGTGCTTGCGACGCCACTGGATAGCAACGCTGCAACATGGTGCTTGCGACGCCACTGGATAGCAACGCTGCAACATGGTGCTTGCGACGCCACTGGATAGCAACGCTGCAACATGGTGCTTGCGACGCCACTGGATAGCAACGCTGCAACATGGTGCTTGCGACGCCACTGGATAGCAACGCTGCAACATGGTGCTTGCGACGCCACTGGATAGCAACGCTGCAACATGGTGCTTGCGACGCCACTGGATAGCAACGCTGCAACATGGTGCTTGCGACGCCACTGGATAGCAACGCTGCAACATGGTGCTTGCGACGCCACTGGATAGCAACGCTGCAACATGGTGCTTGCGACGCCACTGGATAGCAACGCTGCAACATGGTGCTTGCGACGCCACTGGATAGCAACGCTGCAACATGGTGCTTGCGACGCCACTGGATAGCAACGCTGCAACATGGTGCTTGCGACGCCACTGGATAGCAACGCTGCAACATGGTGCTTGCGACGCCACTGGATAGCAACGCTGCAACATGGTGCTTGCGACGCCACTGGATAGCAACGCTGCAACATGGTGCTTGCGACGCCACTGGATAGCAACGCTGCAACATGGTGCTTGCGACGCCACTGGATAGCAACGCTGCAACATGGTGCTTGCGACGCCACTGGATAGCAACGCTGCAACATGGTGCTTGCGACGCCACTGGATAGCAACGCTGCAACATGGTGCTTGCGACGCCACTGGATAGCAACGCTGCAACATGGTGCTTGCGACGCCACTGGATAGCAACGCTGCAACATGGTGCTTGCGACGCCACTGGATAGCAACGCTGCAACATGGTGCTTGCGACGCCACTGGATAGCAACGCTGCAACATGGTGCTTGCGACGCCACTGGATAGCAACGCTGCAACATGGTGCTTGCGACGCCACTGGATAGCAACGCTGCAACATGGTGCTTGCGACGCCACTGGATAGCAACGCTGCAACATGGTGCTTGCGACGCCACTGGATAGCAACGCTGCAACATGGTGCTTGCGACGCCACTGGATAGCAACGCTGCAACATGGTGCTTGCGACGCCACTGGATAGCAACGCTGCAACATGGTGCTTGCGACGCCACTGGATAGCAACGCTGCAACATGGTGCTTGCGACGCCACTGGATAGCAACGCTGCAACATGGTGCTTGCGACGCCACTGGATAGCAACGCTGCAACACGGTGCTTGCGACGCCACTGGATAGCAACGCTGCAACATGGTGCTTGCGACGCCACTGGATAGCAACGCTGCAACATGGTGCTTGCGACGCCACTGGATAGCAACGCTGCAACATGGTGCTTGCGACGCCACTGGATAGCAACGCTGCAACATGGTGCTTGCGACGCCACTGGATAGCAACGCTGCAACATGGTGCTTGCGACGCCACTGGATAGCAACGCTGCAACATGGTGCTTGCAACGCCACTGGCATGCGAACGAGGACGCATCGTGCATTAGCTTTTAGAAGCAGCAGCAAACGGGAGGCGGCGAGACCAAGAGGCGAGGATGAGTGCGTGCAATGGAGGAGGAAGTGAAGTTTGTGCTGCCGCCGTGCACCGACGGGGCAAAACAAGACAAGCAGAACAAGCGGGCAAAATAAGCAGGTGGGCGAGCAAGCGACAGGCGGGAAGCAGCAAAGAAAACAGGCAGGGGGTCAGGGAAGCAGGGAGGCAGGGGGGAAGTGAGTCAGGGAAGCAAGGGGTCACCTGGGCGGTGGTGTGGGAGTTGAGCAGCGAGGCAATGACCGCTGTGATCTTCTCCATCCAGTCCCTCTGCTCCGCTGCACTCTCCGCCTGCCACCACCCCCCCACCACACATGCACGTATACAGATGTGTCCACCGCAACGAATCATGCTCTCACACTTCTCGACAATGCCACCACACATACAGTGCCAGCACGAATACCGCCCCGTTGAGTAAAATGGGGAGGAAGCACGGCGCCAATGCCAACGGCTATACCCGCAGCGTGTGGGTGCAGTCGACTGCAAGCAAGAGCCATACCTGCAGTGTGTGCGTGCAGTCGACTGCCATACCTGCAGTGTGTGCGTGCAGTCGACTGCCATACCTGCAGTGTGTGCGTGCAGTCGGGGGTGACGAGGCGGAAGCAGAAGCGCAGGTCGGGCTCATCAGCGTCCATCTTGATGGTGGCAGTCAGCAGGTTCAGCGACTCGTACTGCAGCGCGTGGTTCCGCTCCTCCTCCTCCCCCATCCCCATCCCCATCCCCATCCCCATCCCCCCCATCCCCGCCCCCATTCCCCCCATGCCCATTGCGTCTGTGCTATGGTCGTCTCCCCCCTCTTCCCCGTGCCCGCTGCCGCCCCTGCCGCCCAGGCCGAGTGGGCGGTAGTGCTGGGCCATGGGGTTGGCGGGCGGCGGGGCGGGAGGGGTGGCGTCGGTGGTGCGAGCGCGGACAAGGGAGAAGAGCGAGGAGAGCGTGTCGGAGCGGGCATTCTGAGGGCAGGGGGAGTGGAGCAGGGGAGCGAGTAGGGAGGAGGAGACGAGGGAGGAGGGCGCAAGGAAGGAGGAAGAGGGCAACCAAGGGAAACCGGATAAGAACAGGTGCTGGCGTATGGAGGGTCATACGAGCATAGGACACGGCAGAAACTTAATTAAACCCCTCGTGATTGGCCGTCGCATAGCACCAATGAATGGAGCGCTGTAAGTCAAACACACCTGAGCATCCTTGTGATAGTAAAGGGAGCCCCTTGAATCGAGGACAAAGAAGTGGCGCGAGCGGGCAGCAGCAGTGCGCCTCACCAGGTACCCCTGCTTGATCACCTGCACCTGTGATGTGATGTGATGTGGTGTGGTGTGGTGTGGTGTGGTGTGGTGTGGTGTTTCACACAAACAGCGCGAAAGGGACACGGGAGGGAAGTGTGGTGAGGCGGCGTGGTGTATGTGACATTGGAGTGCAGTGGCGTGCCTCGGGATTAACCAACGCTTCATCACCACCTGCGCCTCAGGCGTGCATGCACTGCGCATACAGGAGAAGGGGAAACAGGAAGAAGGGTGTGGTTAGGTGTATGTTCCATTTGAGAGAGGAGGGAAGCAGGTAGGGATGGAGAGAGGAGGGAGGGGAAATGGTAACTTGGCAGTGGTGAGAAATATACATACAAATATACACACACACATATACACACATACAAATATACACACACACACACATATACACACACCTAGACATGTACACACACATACACATATACACACAAATACACATATACACACACATAGACATGTACACACACATGCACATACACATACACATACACATACACATACACATACACATACACATACACATACACACATACATATATACACACACATGTGTATACACACATGTACACATACATATATACACACACATACATATATGCACACACATACATACGCACTGTACTCATCCCAATGAGTCTCTCACCTTCTTCTGCCCGCCTGCACCAGCCCTCATCATCTGCTCCACACTGCTCGAAGTCACTCCTCCTGATGGCCTATACGGCCCGCGGCCCTGCCCAAACCCCTCCCCGCCCCCCGCCCCATCTGCACCCGCCAGACCAGCCCCTGACATGCGCCCGCCGCCCCCCCGCCCCTGTGCGTGCGCCAGCGCCTGTGCCTGCGCGTGTGTGTGGGCGGCTTCTAGCTGCGCGCTCTCCTCCTCCTGTGTGCGCCGGAACTGGTAAATGCGCTCTGCTAGCTCCGTCTGTGCACATTGCAAGAAACAGGTCACACGGACACACACAGAGACACACACACGGAAAAACACGCGCAGAGACACACACACGGAGACACACGCACAGAGACACACACACGGAGACACACGCACAGAGACACACACACGGAGACACACGCACAGAGACACACACACGGAGACACACGCACAGAGACACACACACGGAGACACACGCACAGAGACACACACACGGAGACACACGCACAGAGACACACACACGGAGACACACACACAGAGACACACACACAGAGACACACACACGGAGACACACGCACAGAGACACACACACGGAGACACACGCACAGAGACACACACACGGAGACACACGCACAGAGACACACATGGAGACACACGCACAGAGACACACACACGGAGACACACGCACAGAGACACACACACGGAGACACACGCACAGAGACACACACACGGAGACACACGCACAGAGACACACACACGGAGACACACGCACAGAGACACACACATAGAGACACACACACGGAGAAACACGCGCAGAGACACACACACGGAGAAACACGCGCAGAGACACACACACGGAGACACACGCACAGAGACACACACACGGAGACACACGCACAGAGACACACACACGGAGACACACGCACACAGAGACTCAGGCACACACTCTCCTCTTCCTGGGGTACGGCGGAACTGGTAGATGCGCTCTGCTAGCTTCGGCTGAGAGAGTGAGAGGCAGCAGAGGGTGGAGAGGTCGAGGGAGGGAAGGAGAGGAGAGGAGGGTTGAGGCAAGGAGTGAAGATTGGAATGTGGGGACGTGCATGGTAGCATTGCCCCGGCTCATACTCCACAATGAGTTATCTAAGAATGAAGGCATTCAGATACATCACACATGTGTGCGCGCACACACGCACGGACACACGCATGCACACATGCACACATACACATGCACACATACATACATCACACCCACATAGACACACACAAACACGCACCTGCTCCTGATTGGCCTGTTCCTGTGCTTGATGAGAGAACGTGAGGACCTGCGAGAACGGGAGAGGCGTGGTGGAATTGAGAGGATTAGTATCGGCTGGCCGTGCATTAGAGCATGCGGAGGCAATGGGAGAGCCTGAAGATACGTGTGAGGGCGGATGGGCACCCGAACATGCTAGGATGATGTGGGAACATGGGGACCCGAGTCAGAAGGATAGGGAATATGAGAAGGGTATGGATGATGGGAACAATGAAAACCTGTGAGCTGCGATATCATGGCTGGGTGATGCAATACGACAGCCGGGATGAGATGAGAAGACATGAAGATGGAACGATGGCACAAAAGAAGCCGTTGGAAAATCAACGAAATACAGCATGCTTCCTTCTTCTCGGGCATTGGTGTGGCCTAACCTACCCAGCCCTACATGCAAGCAGCAACATAGCTCTCGGCCCGACACCCTCGAGAATCACCTGATGGATCTACGGCTCCACGGCTGATACAATCATTTTAAGACAGCTCACAGCCAAACAATCCGCCCCTTGACCTGACACAGCACCCTGGAGAATCACCTGATGGATGTACGGCTCCACTGCTTGCAGCAGCTCGTAGCCCTGCCGTGTGGAAGAAAGCAAGGTGGGAGATGAAATCATTCACAGGGCAGGCTGGTTGGTGCAACACAAGAACGGGAAACATTGGTGTGAAGCAGTGGACAGGTGACATGCGCAGAACAAGCAAGTGCAGCTTGTCGCGGATAGGTTGCAGCTGCAGTGCCACTTGGCAAGCTTTCATTTCAAGCCCACCAAATGTGGCATGGGTTGGTCGGCACAATATATTGATGTGGCAGCAGCATGAAGGCATGCTGCACTCTCCATGTGGAAACATTTTTACAAGCACATCTCCTTACATGGGAGTTCAAGTATGAATGCGGGTACCTACCTATTTGAAGTGGCGCAAGCGGGCGCACACACATGTGCGCACAACTATAAATGTGCACATGATGAGCATGCCTGTGAGCATGAGCATGCATATGAGCATGGCTGGTACCTGTTTGAAGTAGCGCAGGTGGGCGTGCACAGCAGAGCCGATGGACTCGAGGAACACGTGCTTCTTCTTCGCCTCTGCACTGCTCAGCGCTGTCATCTGCTCATAGCACCGGGCAGGCAGCAATGGGGGGGGGGCAGGCGGGAATTTTCATAGATGATGTGCACAGATACATCCACCCCCCCCTCCCCCCCCCCCCTATCCTCCTCACACACACACACGCACATGCACGCTCACCCCCCCCCCCACACACACACACACGCACGCACACGCACGCACGCATGCACACACACCCACACACACACACACACACACACACGCGCGCACGCACACACACACGCACACACACACACATGCACACACACACACACGCACACGCACACACACACACACACACACGCACACACACACACGCACACACACACACGCACACAGCACGAGGATCGTGCATGGCAGGGACGGAGTCAATAGAGTTGCAGGGGAAGCATTGTTATATCTGAAGCTTAAGAGAAGAAGACCCTCATAAGCTTATGAGGTGGTGTTTGGAGGAGGAGTTGTTCACATCACATTCCCTTATTGTGCTGTGCATTATTCATGCCCTTCGTAAAACTGTGTTGTGCCTGCCTGCTCAAACTGCAACTGCGTGCGCATTGAGTGGAGCCATTGCACTTTCACAGATGAGTGGAGCTGAGCTCACTCAGAAGAGAGTTTCAGAAGCTGTGTTTCTTGAGATGAATTGATAGTACAGTGTGTTTTGGAGTGTGCTTTCAGCCAAGTCAAAACAGGACAGGGTCGTCAGAGCAGGCAAGAGGAGGGAGAGCTCACAAGGTTGAAGCGCGCCTGCTCAAACTGCATGCGAGCCGTTTGCAGGTCCTGGTGGGCACAGGGGAGTGATTGGGGCACGGGTGTTGGCACGGGCATGAGGGGGAGGGTATCTTGACATCTGTAACTGCATGCGAGCCAAGCGAATCCCGGTGGCACAGGGGGTGAAATCAAAGGGGCGTGACGAAAAGGGTGAGGGGGTTGCAGGTTCTTTTATGAGCACGGGAGGGGCATGGGAAAGGCATGGGAGGGGCATGGGAGGGGCATGGGAGGGGCATGGGAGGGGCATGGGAGGGGCATGGGAGGGGCATGGGAGGGGCACGGGTGGGGCATGGGAGGGGCATGGGAGGGGCATGGGAGGGGCATGGGAGGGGCATGGGAGGGGCACGGGTGGGGCATGGGAGGGGCATGGGAGGGGCATGGGAGGGGCATGGGAGGGGCATGGGAGGGGCATGGGAGGGGCATGGGAGGGGCACGGGTGGGGCATGGGAGGGGCATGGGAGGGGCATGGGAGGGGCATGGGAGGGGCATGGGAGGGGCATGGGAGGGGCACGGGTGGGGCATGGGAGGGGCACGGGTGGGGCATGGGAGGGGCATGGGAGGGGCATGGGAGGGGCATGGGAGGGGCATGGGAGGGGCACGGGTGGGGCATGGGAGGGGCACGGGTGGGGCATGGGAGGGGCATGGGAGGGGCATGGGAGGGGCACGGGTGGGGCATGGGAGGGGCATGGGAGGGGCATGGGAGGGGCATGGGAGGGGCATGGGAGGGGCATGGGAGAGGCATGGGAGGGGCACGGGTGGGGCATGGGAGGGGCACGGGTGGGGCATGGGAGGGGCATGGGAGGGGCATGGGAGGGGCATGGGAGGGGCATGGGAGGGGCACGGGTGGGGCATGGGAGGGGCACGGGTGGGGCATGGGAGGGGCATGGGAGGGGCATGGGAGGGGCATGGGAGGGGCATGGGAGGGGCACGGGTGGGGCATGGGAGGGGCACGGGTGGGGCATGGGAGGGGCATGGGAGGGGCATGGGAGGGGCACGGGTGGGGCATGGGAGGGGCATGGGAGGGGCATGGGAGGGGCATGGGAGGGGCATGGGAGAGGCATGGGAGGGGCATGGGAGGGGCATGGGAGGGGCATGGGAGGGGCATGGGAGGGGCACGGGTGGGGCATGGGAGGGGCATGGGAGGGGCACGGGAGGGGCATGGGAGGGCATGGGAGGGCATGGGAGGGGCATGGGAGGGGCATGGGAGGGGCATGGGAGGGGCATGGGAGGGGCACGGGTGGGGCATGGGAGGGGCATGGGAGGGGCATGGGAGGGGCATGGGAGGGGCATGGGAGGGGCATGGGAGGGGCACGGGTGGGGCATGGGAGGGGCACGGGTGGGGCATGGGAGGGGCATGGGAGGGGCATGGGAGGGGCATGGGAGGGGCATGGGAGGGGCACGGGTGGGGCATGGGAGGGGCACGGGTGGGGCATGGGAGGGGCATGGGAGGGGCATGGGAGGGGCACGGGTGGGGCATGGGAGGGGCATGGGAGGGGCATGGGAGGGGCATGGGAGGGGCATGGGAGGGGCATGGGAGGGGCATGGGAGGGGCACGGGTGGGGCATGGGAGGGGCACGGGTGGGGCATGGGAGGGGCATGGGAGGGGCATGGGAGGGGCATGGGAGGGGCACGGGTGGGGCATGGGAGGGGCACGGGTGGGGCATGGGAGGGGCATGGGAGGGGCATGGGAGGGGCATGGGAGGGGCATGGGAGGGGCATGGGAGGGGCATGGGAGGGGCACGGGTGGGGCATGGGAGGGGCACGGGTGGGGCATGGGAGGGGCATGGGAGGGGCATGGGAGGGGCACGGGTGGGGCATGGGAGGGGCATGGGAGGGGCATGGGAGGGGCATGGGAGGGGCATGGGAGGGGCATGGGAGGGGCATGGGAGGGGCATGGGAGGGGCATGGGAGGGGCATGGGAGGGGCACGGGTGGGGCATGGGAGGGGCATGGGAGGGGCACGGGAGGGGCATGGGAGGGCATGGGAGGGCATGGGAGGGCATGGGAGGGCATGGGAGGGCATGGGAGGGCATGGGAGGGGCAGAGGAGGGCATGGGAGGGCATGGGAGGGGCATGGGAGGGCATGGGAGGGGCATGGGAGGGGCATGGGAGGGGCACGGGTGGGGCATGGGAGGGGCATGGGTGGGGCATGGGAGGGGCATGGGAGGGGCATGGGAGGGGCACGGGTGGGGCATGGGAGGGGCATGGGAGAGGCATGGGAGGGGCATGGGAGGGGCATGGGAGGGGCATGGGAGGGGCATGGGAGGGGCACGGGTGGGGCATGGGAGGGGCACGGGTGGGGCATGGGAGGGGCATGGGAGGGGCATGGGAGGGGCATGGGAGGGGCATGGGAGGGGCACGGGTGGGGCATGGGAGGGGCACGGGTGGGGCATGGGAGGGGCATGGGAGGGGCATGGGAGGGGCATGGGAGGGGCATGGGAGGGGCATGGGAGGGGCATGGGAGGGGCACGGGTGGGGCATGGGAGGGGCATGGGAGGGGCATGGGAGGGGCATGGGAGGGGCATGGGAGGGGCACGGGTGGGGCATGGGAGGGGCATGGGAGGGGCACGGGAGGGGCATGGGAGGGCATGGGAGGGCATGGGAGGGCATGGGAGGGCATGGGAGGGCATGGGAGGGGCAGAGGAGGGCATGGGAGGGCATGGGAGGGGCATGGGAGGGCATGGGAGGGGCATGGGAGGGGCATGGGAGGGGCACGGGTGGGGCATGGGAGGGGCACGGGTGGGGCATGGGAGGGGCATGGGAGGGGCATGGGAGGGGCACGGGTGGGGCATGGGAGGGGCATGGGAGGGGCATGGGAGGGGCATGGGAGGGGCATGGGAGGGGCATGGGAGGGGCATGGGAGGGGCACGGGTGGGGCATGGGAGGGGCACGGGTGGGGCATGGGAGGGGCATGGGAGGGGCATGGGAGGGGCATGGGAGGGGCATGGGAGGGGCACGGGTGGGGCATGGGAGGGGCACGGGTGGGGCATGGGAGGGGCATGGGAGGGGCATGGGAGGGGCATGGGAGGGGCATGGGAGGGGCATGGGAGGAGCATGGGAGGGGCACGGGTGGGGCATGGGAGGGGCACGGGAGGGGCATGGGAGGGGCATGGGAGGGGCATGGGAGGGGCACGGGTGGGGCATGGGAGGGGCACGGGTGGGGCATGGGAGGGGCATGGGAGGGGCATGGGAGGGGCATGGGAGGGGCATGGGAGGGGCATGGGAGGGGCACGGGTGGGGCATGGGAGGGGCACGGGTGGGGCATGGGAGGGGCATGGGAGGGGCACGGGAGGGGCATGGGAGGGCATGGGAGGGCATGGGAGGGGCATGGGAGGGGCATGGGAGGGGCATGGGAGGGGCATGGGAGGGGCACGGGTGGGGCATGGGAGGGGCATGGGAGGGGCATGGGAGGGGCATGGGAGGGGCATGGGAGGGGCATGGGAGGGGCACGGGTGGGGCATGGGAGGGGCACGGGTGGGGCATGGGAGGGGCATGGGAGGGGCATGGGAGGGGCACGGGTGGGGCATGGGAGGGGCACGGGTGGGGCATGGGAGGGGCATGGGAGGGGCATGGGAGGGGCACGGGTGGGGCATGGGAGGGGCATGGGAGGGGCATGGGAGGGGCATGGGAGGGGCATGGGAGGGGCATGGGAGGGGCATGGGAGGGGCACGGGTGGGGCATGGGAGGGGCACGGGTGGGGCATGGGAGGGGCATGGGAGGGGCATGGGAGGGGCATGGGAGGGGCATGGGAGGGGCACGGGTGGGGCATGGGAGGGGCACGGGTGGGGCATGGGAGGGGCATGGGAGGGGCATGGGAGGGGCATGGGAGGGGCATGGGAGGGGCATGGGAGGGGCATGGGAGGGGCACGGGTGGGGCATGGGAGGGGCACGGGTGGGGCATGGGAGGGGCATGGGAGGGGCATGGGAGGGGCACGGGTGGGGCATGGGACGGGCATGGGAGGGGCATGGGAGGGGCATGGGAGGGGCATGGGAGGGGCATGGGAGGGGCATGGGAGGGGCATGGGAGGGGCATGGGAGGGGCATGGGAGGGGCACGGGTGGGGCATGGGAGGGGCATGGGAGGGGCACGGGAGGGGCATGGGAGGGCATGGGAGGGCATGGGAGGGCATGGGAGGGCATGGGAGGGGCAGAGGAGGGCATGGGAGGGCATGGGAGGGGCATGGGAGGGCATGGGAGGGGCATGGGAGGGGCATGGGAGGGGCACGGGTGGGGCATGGGAGGGGCACGGGTGGGGCATGGGAGGGGCATGGGAGGGGCATGGGAGGGGCACGGGTGGGGCATGGGAGGGGCATGGGAGGGGCATGGGAGGGGCATGGGAGGGGCATGGGAGGGGCATGGGAGGGGCATGGGAGGGGCATGGGAGGGGCATGGGAGGGGCATGGGAGGGGCACGGGTGGGGCATGGGAGGGGCATGGGAGGGGCACGGGAGGGGCATGGGAGGGCATGGGAGGGCATGGGAGGGCATGGGAGGGCATGGGAGGGCATGGGAGGGCATGGGAGGGGCAGAGGAGGGCATGGGAGGGCATGGGAGGGGCATGGGAGGGCATGGGAGGGGCATGGGAGGGGCATGGGAGGGGCATAGGAGGGCATGTGAGGGCATGAGAGGCGCATGGGAGGGGCATGGGAGGGCATGGGAGGGCATGGGAGGGGCAGAGGAGGGCATGGGAGGGCATGGGAGGGGCATGGGAGGGCATGGGAGGGCATGGGAGGGCATGGGAGGGGCATAGGAGGGCATGGGAGGGCATGGGAGGGGCATGGGAGGGGCATGGGAGGGCATGGGAGGGCATGGGAGGGCATGGGAGGGGCATAGGAGGGCATGGGAGGGCATGGGAGGGGCACGGGAGGGGCATGGGAGGGCATGGGAGGGCATGGGAGGGCATGGGAGGGCATGGGAGGGCATGGGAGGGCATGGGAGGGCATGGGAGGGGCATAGGAGGGCATGGGAGGGCATGGGAGGGGCATGGGAGGGCATGGGAGGGGCACGGGAGGGCATGGGAGGGGGGCATGTAAACATCTCGAACTGCAGCGTATGGATTCAATTCAGGTATGATTGCACTGCAGCATGCGGGCCCCATGCTGTGAGGAGGGCAGAGAGAGGGCGAGCAGGAGAGAGGAGAGGACAAGAGAGAGCAGCGGTGTGGGTACGACGGAAGGAAAACTTGGGCGGCAACTTCCAAGGGAAAAAGGGAGTCGCCGCCCAACACCTTTTCTCACACACTTCCCTTGTCTCCTCTCAACACCTTCCTCCCATCCACATCTTCCCACCCACCTCCTCCCACATCTCCACTTGCCTTCCATGCTGTGCCCACATATCTCTGATTTCTCGAACCCCCCTCTCCTCCCCCTCGCAGAAATTTTCCCAACACTTTCCAGTCAAACTCAAACCAATCCCCTCTCACCTCGTCGGCCTCTGCCGCCACTTCAGCCTTGATGCCCTTCTTGAGCGACAGGAAGCGCTCCCGCATCTGGTGAGAGGGCGGAATTGGGGAGGAGAGGGGAGGGAGGGGTGGAGGGGAGGGGCAGAGGGGGACAGGGGAATGTCTGTTAGCTTTCCCAAGATCACTTGGGCTTTGAACCCTTTGTTGAGCAACAACAAGAGGTCCTGCATCGGTTGATATTCAGAGGTCCATGATCCATCATGCACAGGCCGTGAATGCGGCGAGAATAAACCTTGAAGGAGCATGTGTGCGAATGGGTGCATGGGTGCGTGCATGGGTGCGTGGGTGTGTGTGTGCATGGGTGCATCCATGGTGCGGCAATAGGATGGGTGGGAGCAAGGGCAGTGGGGAGCAAATCCTCGTCCTCACCTGGTCATACTGCCGTCCAGCCTTGTCGTAGCGCCGCCGCACCTCCTGATGGCTCGCATGGGGCAACGGGTACGGACATAGTGCACGGGTAAACGGGATGGGTGAATGGCATGCGTGAATGGCGTGATGCTATTATGTATGTTGTGAATGTGAGCGACCTTGGGGTTGGATGCACTCAGCAGCATGAGCACCCATGCACTTATTTGTGCATGGGTGCACTCATGCACCCAGCAGCATGAGTGCATGGGTACATGCACTCAGCAGTATGAGCGACCTCAGCTGGCTGCACCCATGAACCCATGCACCAGCTGCACCCATGCACCAGCTGCACCCATGCACCCATGCACTACCAGCTGCACCCATGCACCCATGTTTAGTTGCACATAAACCAGCTAAGAAAGAAAGTGCTTCAAAGACCTCAGCTTCCAGTCCAACCCAGCCTAGAAAACCGTGCTGTGGCGTGACTTGACAAGCTCACAACAACGCTGGGACCTGACAGGCCTCCCTCCCCACAGCCAACGGCAGCACAACTGGGGCAGCTGGAATGGGTCTTCTTTAGTCAACTCGAGAGTCAACGCGAGTCAGCGGCAGGGCAGCCCACCTTGAGGTTGTTGAGATCGTTCTCCACGAAGTTGGTGATTCTGTCATGCAGCACATGCTCCATCTGCACACAGAGGGTGAGGGTGAAGGGGTGGGGGTGGGGGGTAAGAGGAGCCTTAACAACCAATACGGTGATGATTCTATCATGCAGCACGTGCTTTATCTGCACAAACACCCACCAAGCCGGAGAAAAGGAGGTGCTGGGAAAATTTGAGATAGATGGGGTGGGAAATGGTATGTCATTGACGGGAAAACGGCATCACGTGGAAAGAAAAGAGTTTGTGAGTGAAGGGTGAACCCTAAACCCCCCCAAATTCCCGCTGTGGTCGGTATACCCACATGATTTGAATCCTCGATTAAGAGAAATTCTAGAACTTAATGACTGCAATATAGGTTCAGATTAAGGCCCTCAAAAGTGCAGTGTGGATGAATGCGTGAGGAACCGCAAGGGCATGCCTGGAGGGACTACGCATGCAACTGATGCGCACAGCACAGCACTGCACAGCACAGCACAGCACTGCACGCACAGCACAGCACAGCACAGCACAGCACAGCACTGCACAGCACAGCACAGCACAGCACAGCACTGCACAGCACAGCACAGCACAGCACTGCACAGCACAGCACAGCACAGCACTGCACAGCACAGCACAGCACAGCACAGCACAGCACTGCACAGCACAGCACAGCACAGCACAGCACAGCACTGCACAGCACAGCACAGCACTGCACAGCACAGCACAGCACTTCACATCACAGCACAGCACAGCACATCACGACACGGCATGACACGGCACTGCACTGCACAGCACTACACTGTGGTGTGGGGCGCACACGGCGCTTGCCTGTGATTTGAGCGTCTCCTTAAATATGGTGAGGTCACGCAGCGTCATCACGAACTGCCCCAGCACAGGACCTGGCGGAATACCGAGGGTTGGAGGCAGAGATGCGTGGGAGAAAGCAGGGGGCAGGAAGACGGGGTGGGGATGGGGTGAAAGGGGACACCACCATCGCTGGCACAACCCCTGAGTGCACCCTGCAGGATTCACCGTCCTGCACGGCTCACCACCCTGCACGGCTCACCACCCTGCACGGCTCACCACCCTGCACGGCTCACCACCCTGCACGGCTCACCACCCTGCACGGCTCACCACCCTGCACGGCTCACCACCCTGTACGGCTCACCACCCTGCACTGCACGGCTCACCACCCTGCCCTCTGCCCATTAACCTCACCGCCTGTGGCGATGCTGACAGCATCCTCGGGCGCACCAAAGAAGCGCTCCATGGCGTGCACGAAGGCGCTCTCTGCCTCGAACGACTCGCCCAGGGATGCCCTGGTGTGTGGGAGAGAGAGGAGATTGGGTGCGTGAGGAGGCACGCAGTGAGTGTTAAGTCCAGCATACAGTGGGAGGAGGAAAAGCCGCATGCACGAAGGCACGCTCCGCCTCGAACGACTCGCCCAGGGATGCCCTGGTGTGTGAGGGAGAGAGAATTGCATTGGCAGGGGGGTGTGAGGAGCAGTGAGGGGTGCATGGGGAGCAACGCTTCAAGGAGGGATGCACGAAGGAACGCAATGGGCAGGCACGGGGCCAAGAGCAGGAGGGATTGAGCAGCAGGGCGAGGCGTGGTGGAGCGGCAGGGCGAGGCGTGGTGGAGCGGCAGGGCGAGGCGTGGTGGAGTGGCAGGGCGAGGCGTGGTGGAGTGGCAGGGCGAGGCGTGGTGGAGCGGCAGGGCGAGGCGTGGTGGAGCAGGAGCGTGAGGCGACTCACGCGAAGTCGTTGCAGCTGCGAGCGAGCTGGCAGCAGCGGTCCCTCAGCAGCTCGAGACTCTCCTCCAACGACGCCAGCTGCGGGGAGAGAGATTCAGGGAGGGTTACGCAAGGGCGAGGAACGTTGGGGGACCAAACGGAATGCAGGGAGCGAGGGGCATCAGAGATGCGAGCAGGCAACAGCGACCCCGCAGCAGCACCAGACTCTCCTCCAGCGCCGCCAGCTGCTGGGAGAGGGATGCGGGGAGGGTGATGTGGGGAGGGTGATGTGGGGAGGGTGATGTGGGGAGGTCGATGCGGGGAGAGGGATGCGGGGATCTGAGACGTCTCAAGGCTGGCAACAGCGGTCTCTCAGGAGCTCCAGACTCTCTTCCAACAACGCCAGCTGCGGGGAGAGTCGCACAGGGAGACGGGGAGTGGGATGCGGGGAGGGTGATGCGGGGAGGGTGATGCGGGGAGGGTGATGCGGGGAGGGTGATGCGGGGAGGGTGATGCGGGGACGGTGATGCGGGGAGGGTGATGCGGGGAAGGTGATGCGGGGAGGGTGATGCGGGGAGGGTGATGCGGGGAAGGTGATGCGGGGAGGGTGATGCGGGGAGGGTGATGCGGGGAAGGTGATGCGGGGACGGTGATGCGGGGAGGGTAATGCGGGTTCTTGAGACGTCTCAACCTCAGCAGCACCAGAATCTCCTCCAGCGACGCCACGTGCGGGGAAAGATTCGCGCACAGATAAGAACAGATGTGTGCAAGGGTGGGTTACACGCGGATAGGGTTATGCTAGGCCGTCGCGAGTCAAGGGATGCAGGGAGTGAATGGTATTACATGTGCGGGTTGTGAGGGTTCGACAAGTGGGATCAAAGCATGCGAGGCGGGGTATTGACCATCAGGGAAGCAGCGTCTTTCAAAGCTCGAAACAATGAGGCTTAGTGACAGAAAGAGAGGGAGAGCAATCGCTTCCACGTAACGATGGCAGTGCGACAACTTTTCGTCCAGCTCTCGCCCTAACTCTGCTCCGATACCATCCAACTAAACGAATTGGCCTTCCCGACCTAAAGAGGACGTACGCAACGAGTATAGACGGAACGAACGGGACGGATCATGCATGTCTCGCTTGTAAAGACGGATGTAGGTAAAAACAGGTGAATTCTAAAACTTATTCCTTCGATCTGGCACTAGCGACGCCATTCTGATGGCGGAAAAGGGGCAGAGCGGAGCGGTGTACCTGCTTGCGCAGCATTGGCGTGTCGTCTAGCCGCGCGAACAACATCCTGGTTCTCTGGTGTCGACGGGAATGGGTGTTACGAGGTTGCGATTGCGAGAAAACCAGCACGAAGAGATGACGATGCTTCTACGACGATACTGAGAAAGCGATGCGGTACTGCCTTTTCACAACGTCACCATACTCTCTTGGCCTACTCAGTACCTACTCAGTCCAGTATGATAATCCCGAGGCTGTTGCTGCTGGCTAGACTCGCCAACTGCATTTTTGTTGACAAGGGAGTTCGATTTGGGCTGACATGCCAGGCGTAGCGTTGGGATGATCGCGTGGGATGAGGAGAATGGAGTTTCGTGAGTTCAGTGGGAAGAATACAGTATAAGGACGGAAATCTTGTCTCAAGAGGTGACAGGATGTAATGAATGTGAATTCATTACTGTAGAGGCTACTCCTAGCGAGGACAGCCCGAACTGTTCGCGTCAGTTTGGGTTCGGCCTACACTTCGGCCCGAACCACTTCCGAGTCGCCCCGCACCAATAGCGACACTTCCAACCCATCCGCGTCCCGAGGTCCTCGCCTACCACGGTTTTGACCCTATAAATGCTTGCTTCTTTATCATTCTCGTCATTCTGTAGTTCTCATCCTTTTTATTAAGTCTTCCGCGCACTCTTCTTAGTACAACTCATAACGATTGGTATCAGAGCCTAAGTTCCTAGGTCCCCCGTTTTTTAGAATGTATTACCCCTCGGGGGGGGGACAGGGAAGGATGCCGTGGTGACAGGAGCAGCGCAGTAGCCGGCCAGGAGAACTGATAGTTGCTCCTAGCGGCCATGTTTTTCTTGGGCTGATTGCCCCTTAGGATCTTTGGTAGGGTTAATCTCTGGGTAGAGTGATGTAGTAGCGGAAGCGTTAACAAAGAGATTCTGAACCACCTTGCGCTAGTATGTGAGGGCAAAGTAAGTTGATTAAAACAAGGAGATACAAGATTTTATATATGATTACAAGGAATACGAAGAGATACGAAAGATAACTGTTTTACTGTTGGCTGTTGCGGTTCGATACTGTGCGACTCGGGCAACTGCTCAATATCGAGTCAGTTGTGTGTCTTTGCTGTCGCGCTACATTTGTCAAGTCAAAAATCGCTGACCTTTGACCTTCGCGTAACCTCCAGCTGTTGCTTCAACTTCCGAGGGTTGACTCGCTGGTGCCTCGATATGCGTTGCTTCACTTGTGTCTTTAGTGTTTCGACACGACAGAGACGCTTAGGACCGATTGTTTCCAACAGTTTTTACTGTTAGTAGATCTGCACTGTGGATGCCCGATTGATCCTGGAGAGGGTTACAGGCGCGTTCGCCTGGGGGGTTATGGGCGCACTGACCCGCTACTGAAACAAGCCCTTTTATCCCAATGGTCTAGTGGTTGGGATTCTGACATGGTATCACAGCGGTCTTGGGTTCGATTCCCGGTGTATGCACATGTAGGCCGTTGCCGCTGTGCTTAGTCCTGGGCCTCCCAGTGTGGGGGGGTGTCAGTAGATCTGCACTGTGGATGCCCGATTGATCCTGGAGAGGGTTACAGACGCGTTCGTCTGGGGAGTTATGGGCGCACTGACCCGCTACTGAAACAAGCCCTTTTATCCCAATGGTATAGTGGTTGGGATTCTGACATTTACGGGCGCTCCTGCTGCACCGACGGATCCTTGCCCTCGACGGTCGAGATGGACCGTGGCCTCCCTCCCCCCGGGTGGCGGACAGCTTTTGCTGTCGTCGCATTTAATTGCGTGAGTAAATTTCATCGTTTCCGTTAATCTCGGCCCTGTTTTTATGCGGCAGTTGGCGTCAGGACGGTTGTCGTCACTGCATGCGCGAGATTCTCGGAGCAGCTGGTCGTGCGAGTTGAAGTTTTCACGTGGTCGTCAACTGCGCACGAAGAAATCGGAGTTAATGCGTGCGGCAAGTGGCGTCACGCGTTATCGTCAAGTTGCGCACGAGAATCACGGAGGTCTTCGGCACGTTGTGAGCATCGTCATTGTGCTAGAAGATTTCGGGTGGCTTCACGGCAGAAACGACAGCTGGCCGGACAGGCCAGTCGCATGGTGATTTGCGTCGGAAAATGCAAACGGCGAGGAGAGACGGCGTGACGACTGCCCGAAGAAAGCGGGGGTCTACCGTCGTTCCGCCCGGGTGTGGCCGGTGTGGCTGCAGGAGGGTGCGTCTTTGGCGTTTTCGGCAGGTGCGGCACAGTGTGGGACGAAGTTATTTTCGAACCGCCGAAAAGTTCGGAAAAGGCCGCCTACGACTAGACTGTCTACGTTAGGGTCACTTCTGCGCCTGCAACAAGGTCGGTCGAAATTTTCGGAGCAACAGCAGTAGCTGACACTGTACTTCATGCGGCACAGGTTCCCCCTGATCAAGGGAAGTTGCGCCGCAGACAGGGCAGTACACCGACGGGACAACGGTTTATCGCAGCGTCTAGACCCGCGAATTTCGCCTGGTCTACCGGTCACAATAAACGGAGTTGCGACAAATACGGGTCTGGCGCGAGAAACGGATTCCGAGCTTCAAGAGGGGCGAAAACGACCTACTGCGACGACTTTTTGCTGAGGGCCGAGTTTTGCGGCTAAGCGGCGGTAGCAGAAGGAGCTCCCTACCGGCCAAAGTCTACCGACATTTCACATACCTCACGCCCAGAAGGCCTCGAAGGTAAGGAAAAGTCCTATTGGCCACTGGATCCAAAGGTGGGGCCCTGTGTTTAGCCCTGTGCTGGCTAAAAAGCGCGGGTATTGCGCTAGTTCGACAACTGGGCATACAAGAAATTTTTTGGGAGCGACACTGTTTCGGCCCCGACAAAACCGGACCATCGGCAACAGTTACCCCGCCGAAAAAGTCGGAGCTGAAGCAGTTGGTGCAGCTGTCGGAGTTTCTCCTGTAACGAAGAAGAAGTGATTGCACTATGAAAGTTGGAGTACAAGTAGGAAACCCTAACTTTGTGTACCCCCAAACGGCTAACCCACTATAGCCTACACAATAATAGCACATATAGTGTTTGACACACCCCCATAGGCAAAGTGGGGGAGAACAAGGGGTCACAAGACCAGTCAAGAAAGGCAAGCAAGCTCAGGGTGGATCACAACGTCACCACACACTCCGAGCACAAGCAAAGGGCCACAAGGCCAGTTCACATGCAGAAGTATATATAAGTAGTACAGACAGCAAGGGTGATCTCAACCTAGCAGAGCAAACAGGCAGGAGTATATATAGAGATCCCAGTACAGGCAAAGCCTACAACAAGTGAGACAAAGTGGGCACTAGCCCCAACAAAGTACAGAAGCGCTGATGATCACCAGGCTGAAGTGCCTTGGTGAAAATATTAGCGGTGTTGGCCTGAGAGGCCACGTAGCGCAGACGAAGCTGACCACGCTGCTGAAGCTCACGAGCAAGGAAGTAACGGAGAGCGATGTGCTTCGTTCTGTGCTCCAGTCTGTGCTCCTGACACAAGGCAATGGCAGCCTTGTTGTCGACGTACAGCACTGGAGGAGAACTAGGCCGCTCTCCAAGGTTGGTCAGCAGGTAGGTGAGCCAGCGTAACTCCTGTGCAGCCATGGCTGTGGCGTAGATCTCAGCCTCACAACTGGAGCTGAGAACCGAAGACGAACAAGTAGAGCGCCACGAAACTGAACCAGAGCCAAGGCTGAAGGTGTAAGCCTGTGACGACCGCTGAGTAGCCTGGTCGTCAGCCCAAGAAGCGTCTGAGTGCCCAGTGAGAACAACTGAGCTCCCTCCTCCAAGTACGAGCCCCATGCCTGATGTACTGCACAAGTAGCGCAATACCCTCTTTGCAGCATCCCAGTGCACCTTTCGGTGACGACCAGGAGCCACGTAGCGAGCGAGAAGGCCAAGAGGGTATGCTAGGTCAGGACGAGTGCAAGTCTTCAGGTACATGAGGCAACCAACTAGCTCTGGGTAAGGACCACTCGACTCTACGGACTCATCCGAAGGCAGAGCTGAGAGCGAGTGACCTATAGCCAGAGGAGAAGCCTGTGCTGAGGACCACGTGAAGCCGAAGCGCTGAAGGACCTGCTGCACCATGTGTGACTGAGTTAGGGTAATGGTGCGGCGTGCTCTGTCCCGGGTGATCTGCAAGCCAAGGTAGCTGCGCAGTTCACCCAGGTCTGTGCACGTGTGTCTCTTCTGCAGCTCGGACTTCACGTGGGCGAGAGACTCAGTGTAAGCTGTGGCAAAGACCAAGTCGTCGACGTACACGGGGATGTAGAACGGCGGCAGTGAAGTGTCGGTGCGTAGAAACAGCGACGGGTCAGCAGTAGAAGGAGAGAACCCAAGTGCCGCAAGAGTAGTCCTCAGTGTGTCGTGCCACTCACGTGGCGCCTGGCGAAAACCGTAGACCGGCCGGCGGAGGCTCCACTGGGTACCAGGAGGGAACGACCCAGTGAAGCCAGGAGGGCGGCGCAGCCAGATCTCCTCGTGCAGACTGCCCTGCAAGGAAGCTGTGCTGAAGTCAAGAGAGTGAAGCTAGTAGTCACGCTGAGCAGCGATGTGCAGCAGAGCCCGAAGAGTGGTCATCTTCGGGGTCGGGGAGAAGGTCTGGAAGAAGTCAACTCCCTCTCGCTGACTGAAGCCTTGAGCAACGTAGCGCGCCTTGAAGACAGGCGGAGAACCCGACGGCCGCTTCACCCTGAAAATCCACATGCCACTGACGATGTTCGCCCCAGGTGGGGGAACCTCGTCGACGTAGGTGCCTGTGGACTTCCAGGAAGCCATCTCTGTGTCCATGGCTGACTGCCACTGAGAGGAGTAGGGACCCTCGATCGCCTCAGCGTACGATCGAGGAGTCGAGATGCTTGGTGCATCCGGGTCTCCCTCAGGGGCAA